ATCAAGGAGACGACAATGAAATGTCTATGTAGCCGATGACGTCGTATCTGAGATCCCGATTATTTAGCTTTTTTTCCGGATTGTGAGGCGAGAAACCAATACCGTCCATTATATCACGGAGGCGCAGCGCCATTCGTGTCCCTCCCAAACAGCAGTGTCTGCGGCAACCGCATCCAGGAATTGAAACTGCTGCGAAGGAGGAAGCAACAAAAAGGGAGAAGGCAGGGAGGTTAACCAGAAAGACATCCGGTTGGCTACCCTACACTGGCTAATTAGGGAAGGGGACAAGAAAGACGAGAAAAAGAGAAGAGAGGGAAAAGAAAAACAAGGTGGGGGAGAGACTGACAGTAATTACACTGCAGCGTGTAGAACTCTACCGCATGTCAGAGGCGTTCACACAAGCCTGTCTTTCCCAGGAAACACAGCGGGGCTTTCACTGCCTTGTGGGCTGTCGAAGCATGTAAACGTTGCTGTAATAGCACCTGCACAGAAAGAGGCCGATCATCCAGTCGGCGCATTGCGTTGGCAAGTACTTGTCTATCTGAGGTAAATCGAGGACAATGGCACAGCAGGTGTTCGATATTTTCGTCGGTGCCGCAAACATTGCACGCCGCACTGTCAGTAATTCCGATTAACGTGGTATAAGCTTTCGTGAAAGCAACTCCCAGCCAAAGGTGATAGAGAAGCGAAGCTGCACGTCGATGTAGGCCGGGTGGAGGCTGGAGTTGTAGTGAAGGGTCGAGCTCGTGCAGTCTTGTACGTCATATGCTTGGTGTGTTCCACTCAGTCAGTGTGAGACTGCGAAGCAGCCGTAATACTGATGAGGCAACTATCAACTCGTTTGAAAAGAATATACAGACGACAACCGTGAGGTTGTGATGTTAGCCGCAAAGAAAAAAAAGACTACATCCCATTATACGTCCACTTTAAGCACTCTGCTAAGCCATAAGGGGTCATCCTTTACGCATTTGTATAAGCTGTACCATGAAAAAACTCAACAGGAAAGTGCATCTAAAGATATCGAAGCAATCGTCGATAAAGCGAATAACGACGTCAAAATCAGAACCGTTAGGTATATCGGAGCGCTGTTATGTGAAACGCATGGCCACACATTTCAGACCTTGAAACTATAAATCAAATGCGGTGCTAGCAAGCATGACTCCTCTTTCGTTTCTTAGGTCAACGAAGAGATCAGCGGTGTCCTGAGCATCAACGAGGCTATATAGAACGCTGATTCACCTATATTCATGGGGTCATATGGACGTGGATATATACGCATGAATAATGGGTGGCATTCGCAAAACTTGTGTTTCATAAGTGCATTTTCCCGTTGATCTGTTGATTTCGCTAATGATGTATCCCAGTTATTCTCCTGCGTAATTCTTCATGCTAGATGTTTTAGTAAATATGGGCACACTTTTCACCCAAGCTTCCCACATCGATAGTCGATCACATAATATGATAATTTGATATAACGATCACTCGATGGTCATATTAAATGTCGAATTCCTTGTGGCATACATCAGGATGGGTAAGCTCCGCCATGTAATGCAATTTATCCATTTGTTCAAAACTCGACCTAAATTTGCGAATCGCACGAACCTTTAGCACGTTAGCATAGTGTGCACTACAGCGCAATGACTTGATGCCGCTGCTGCGCACGTGCTTCACGAAATCGACCACTTTGACACCACCGCTGTCCAGTTCCGCTATACTCTCACGGACGCTGTATGATACATTTAGCAAGGAATGACAACTGATTCGCAACAAAATTACCATAACCACATCGAAGAATATGCAAGAAAGCCACTCTGCTCGACGACAGGTTCCTGTCGTAATCCTCGAATGGCGTGGACACTGTGTCCGTTACCAATGTCCACAAAAAATCACAGCATATCCACGGAGTGAATGATGATGAGTGGGGCGAAGCGTGCGTCAGCCCGTCCATGCTTCCGTCCGTTCGTTCTTGCTTCCACCCGTCCGCACGACAATCCGTGCGTCCATTCATGCATCCGTCCATCTGTCTGTGCGTCCGTCCGTGAGTCCATCCATCTGCCTGTCTGTCTGTCTGTCTGCCTGCCTGCCTGTCTGTCTGTCTGTCTGTCTGTCTGTCTGTCTGTCTGTCTGTCTGTCTGTCTGTCTGTCTGTCTGTCTGTTCGTGCGTCCATCCGTCCGTGCGTCCGCGCGTCTATCCATCCGTCCGCCCATTTGTTAGTTTGTCTGTCCATCCGTCTGTGCGTCCATCTAGTGAACACTCCAAGTACCGCCATCTCTCATCTCGCATCCCCTGTGGCGAAAACCTGCTCTAGAGCGGGTATGTGCCACCGGTGGCTACGAGACATACATACATACATACATACATACATACATACATACATACATACATACATACATACATACATACATACATACATACATACATACATACATACATACATACATACATACGCCCCGCCGCGGTGGTCCAGTGGCTAAGGTACTCGGCTGCTGACCCGCAGGGCGCGGGTTCGAATCCCGGCTGCGGCGGCTACATTTCCGATGGAGGCGGAAATGTTGTAGGCCCGTGTGCTCAGATTTGGGTGCACGTTAAAAAACCCCAGGTGGTCGAAATTTCCGGGGCCCTCCACTACGGCGTCTCTCATAATCATATAGTGGTTTTGGGACGTTAAACCCCACATATCAATCAATTACATACATACATACATACATAGAAGAGATGGACAGACCCACGCCTTGAAGAGCTCCGCCCCTAAGTCTTGCTACATCGTACCACCCTTGCCAATTCGTCACTGCCGCCGGCCTGTTTTTCAGCAAGCGATATTGTAACGCTGAGCTTCAAAACAGACAGTCACAAAAATGCTGAAGTTTCTACGAGTTACAAGCCTTATACTGACCAATTGTGACATCCACGTGTGTTTATGTGTGTATTTGGAATTATCTTCATTCCTTTCTCGTTCTTCTCGTTGTTACTTTTATTGCGATAGTAACTATAGAGCAGTGTTGCTGAATTTTGGCCGTCACCACTGACGTCTTGCTCAGTAAATGAATAAGTATGTATATACAAAAAGGCCCCCCTTCCTCCAAAAAATCAATACATCAAAATTTCAAAACACCCGATCAAGGATTCGAACCACTGACACTCACTCCACAGCCCACCACGTTAGACAACTCTACCCCGCACTATGCATCAACGACTTCAGTAATGATGAGCTATTTATAGAATACATACAATTTACCGTTGATACAGTAAGGATCTTAAAAGAGCGAGAGCGTGTTCTGTATCATGCAACGCTTCCATATTTTCTTTTCATCTTTAAACTGCTATTAAGCCACGAACGAAAAAAGTGGCCCCTTCCAGTATACCCACCCTTGATGTGGAACGAACGAAAGAAATAAAGCCGGGAACACCTTGCGTCACACACCACCGCATGGGAGGAGACACGGAGGGGTCACTCCATGCACCGAAAATGTCCAAAAGCGTCAGCTTCTGCATAGTCGACCCTTGTAGCGCTGTTCCAACACAAAAACGTTATGACTACGAGAGTTGTTAAATCACACATGGGCTGTCTATGCCTGGCCTTATTTTTTTTCCCTCAATCGTCATTCGTTGTGGTTTAGCGGAGTGCTGAAAGTTTTGAGCTGTTTGTTGCCCCTCGTGCGACATTTTAATTTTTCCGAAACCGTATTCGTTGCTTGTTCTTGCGGCGAGACTGAGACTTATCTTTATACCCTACTCCACCCGCAGCGCAGGGTATCAAATAAGATGTTTACTTTCCGGTTAACTTCCCTGCTTTTTTCTCAGCATACATTCACCTCCCTCTCTTTGTCTATTCTGGAGAGTAAACAATAAGAATTTTTTAGGGGCCGCCTCTTTTTGTTTCATAATTCATAGCAACCTTATCACATATTTGAGCTCCCCTTATCAGCATCAGACGCCCTTCGTACTTTTCTGATTATGCAGATCGAGTCCAACGGCCACTCGACATGACGTTGCACTATATTCTGGATTTAGGAGCCAAAGGAGACAGAAAAAAGTGAGAAACTTGAAGCCTTCTGGTGTCAAGACTAATCATAATATCCGCTGAGTAGCAGCGACATTTTTCAGGCACAATTATTTTTTTGCAAAATGCTCGTGAACTGGCGCATGTCAAATCTTTTCTCAGGCTGTCGAAATTGAATGGAAGCGGTTCAATGAGCTTGTGCAGATAAACCTTTCATACTCTTCATGTCTGACATCCGCATAGAGTTTTTATGAAGATCATAAAATTATATACGATGCTGCTTAATCAGTGCATTCATATGCCCATGTCGCCCGAAATATTATAGCACGTTCCTCCTTTTCTTTCGGCCGCTGCATTCGTAAACCCTTACCTCCAAAACAGGGCAGGAAACTGAATGCACCCCTGGCCGACTTCTCTGCCTTTCCTTGCTTTTCTCCTCATTCTTTTTCTTTTTAGTTCTTGAACATTGCTTCATGATTGCGCAGTCTTAACAGAGCGCGCATATTTTCGGCGGTTGCGTGAAACAAGTCGCGCAGACGTGTCACTAACTAAAGGGAAGCAGAAAAACCAATAATAGCTTATCGATTATTAATATTATAATTATTAATATTATTATTATTATTATATTATTATTATTATTATTATTATTATTGTTGTTGTTGTCCCGGCTAGTGTTTCTCTTGATATGTGATCGTTTTCTTTATCCTCTTTGTTTCTGTACCCCCCGTTGTTTTATCCTTTGTGTATTTCTAACTGTTGTATAAGCACGCGAGTGTGAAAACCTTTCAAAGTTGTACAGTGCAACAGACGATGAGTGATTATCATTCAATTGATTGATTGATTGATTGATTGATTGATTGATTGACATTTGCCGTGTTTTGTACATTTTTTTTATTTCTCAGTAGTGCCGACGCAACATGTGGCTTGTGTGCATACTGTGTTGATTCGTTTTGTGGCTGGCGTGGAAGTGAGGAATGCTTGCTGTTCCTTTCCGACCGCATGGTTGGCTGTATCGTCAACCCTGCACACTTGGATTTCGGATGTCGCCACTTGCACGTGCTCAGGTACCAGCGGCGCATCCGTTTGCTGCGCATCGGCGTCTTCATGCTGATGGCCACTGGTTTCCTCTACCAGGCATCAAAAGTAGTTAAGGCGTATCTCAGCTTTCCCAGCGCCGTGGACGTTCGCATCGAGGGAGCCGAAGTGCTGCTCTTCCCTGGCCTCTCAGTCTGCGTCACCAACTGGTACGTGTGGCAGAATGCGCGCTTCTATTGCTGTCCGCACACACGCTTACTTTGCGAGAGAATGTAAAATGTTCACAAATTCTTTCCTTTCTACGTCACTATTGATCCCTTCTCCTTTTATTCCTTGCACCCGAGTTTTACGAATGAGCCCCAGTTGGTGAAATGTTGTCTGATCCTGATTGTTCAGTAGCGCTCGACAACACAACAGCCACTCGATAATGAATGAACAGGTGAACTTTGTTTAAAACTGGTCCGGCAGTTTTCCTTCGGGCGAGGCCAGGGAAAAGTGGCCATTCTGTCCCGTCCCACACTCCCTCAATGATGATGAAACAATTTTTTTTTTGCTTGTGCTGAAATTACCATATCTTATTTCGAAAACGTTTGCTACTGTTTCACTCACGGTTTCTCTGGTTGGTGCGTCGAAGACATCGCAATAAATTCTGGAACATCTAGGAGACTTTTAAAAGGAGTTTTCTTCTTGAGATCTGAATAAATCTTGGGACAGCAATATTATTGGTACATTTTCAAGAAGTGCACCCGTTTCCGGTTAAGTGTGCACGCACATATGCAATCCACAGATCTGCGCAATACGAAACTGCCGAACTGTCCTTACAGTTGTCACGACTCTCATCCTTTATTCTGTCCAAGAACCACAAGGGCCACTCTTTGGCCACTCCGCTTGCGTAAAAATAAAATAGGCGGACATTGTGTTCATAGCGAAGCTTTGCGGAGATACCTGAAGACAGTATACGATAACGCAAATGATTAATTCATATATTTTTCTTTTAAATGGGATTGCATTTGTCATACAATATGCAGATCTTATTACCTTTCACGCAGTGAGTAAGTGCCATATTTCAAATTGCTAACTGAACAATCATTTGTTTCGTTTTGTGTTGTTTATCTGCCTACAATTGTTGTAGGGTCAGCAAGACGAAGCTATGCGAGCACTATCGGATTTCTGCGAGACTAACACCACTGACGTAGGTATTCAAAACGGTATTTTCCCGAGTCATTTTATGGTAGTTGGGCGTCAACATTCATAACATTTTTTTTATCCGTCACCAAAGACGACAATGTTAGTAAAGAAAATATTAGCTCAAACACTGCTGGAAACGATGTCTCTCTCAATTTCCGAATTGAATATCAGTGATTCTTTCTGCCATCTTTCCTTCGGGAGGGACAGAATCTAAACAATAGTAAAGTTGAGCGGAAATGTGCTATCGGAGTGCATGCTTGTGACAGTCACGCGAGTCGTCAAACTGATCACCAATTTTCAAGTGCGTTGGGGTACGTATACAAGCTTTTCTACAAATTTTTTCGTCTCTTTTTATGTACAATCGTGCTTGTGCAGGTGGAAGAGCTGAAAAAATTATTGCTGACTGGCGGCAAACTGGGGAGACATTGCCCATAGCTCGGAAGACGTTTTGCAGATTGGCTTTGTAAACCCGACGCAGTATTTCTTCGAGTTCTACCTGAGCCCGAAGTAAGCAACACTGCGTCGATTGGCCTGCCTGCTGGTTTTTGTTTGCTTCATGGCGATTGTTCAACAAAATACCAATCAAGAAGGGTGTAAGGCATGGGGACACAATCTCCCCAATGCTATTTACCGCGTGTTTACAGGAGGTTTTCAGAAGCCTAGAATGGGAACAGTTGGGGATAAGAGTTAATAGAGAGTACCTTAACCTGCGCTTCGCCGACGACATTGCATTGCTGAGTAACTCAGGGGACGAATTGCAGCTCATGATTACGGAGTTAGACAAGGAGAGCAGAAAGTGGGGTCTTAAAGTTAATCTGCAGAAAACGAAAGTAATATACAACAATCTCGGAAAAGAGCAGCGCTTCAAGATAGGTAATAGTGCACTTCATGTTGTAGAAGACTATGTCTACATAGGGCAGGTAATAACCACAGAGCCGAACCACTAGATTGAAGTAACTAGAAGAATAAGAACGGGGTGGAGCACATTCGGCAAGCACTCTCAAATTATGACAGGTAGATTGTCACTATCCCTGAAGTTGAAGGTGTGTAACATCTGTATCTTGCTGGTACTTAGCTACGGAGCAGAAACCTGTAGACTTACAAAGAGAGTTCAGCTTAAATTGAGGACGACGCAGCGAGCAACGGAAAGAAAAATGGTAGGTGTAACCTTAAGAGACAAGAAGCGAGCAGAGTGGATTAGGAAACAAATGGGGGTTAAGGATATCATAAAGAAGAGGACATGGAGGACATGAAATAAAGAAGAGGACATGGACATGGGCCGGACATGTAGCGCGTAGACAGGATAACCGCTGGTCATTAAGGGTGACAAACTGGATTCCCAGAAAAGGGAAGCGGGTTGGGAGACAGAAGGTTAGGTGGGCAGACGAGATTAAGAAGTTTGCGGGTATAAATTGGCAGCAGCAAGCTCAGGACCGGGTTAACTGGCGGAACATGGGAGAGGCCTTTGTCCTGCAGTGGACGTAGTCAGGCTGATGATTATGATGATGATGATGATGATGATGATGATGATTGTTCAAACTCCTAACAGCATCAGGTCACGATCGTCTAAAATAAAGTTGAACCAAGAGAGCTTCAAGAGCAAGCAAAAGAACAACGGACTACGAGGTTCAAGCACAATCTACAAGAAACCTAGTCAAGCGTGACGTGAGATCAGATTGTGAAAATAAACAACAAACATTTCGAAATAAATTATCGGAACAGTCAATGGAGAACCATCGTGAAATAAATCAGCACTTGACAAATCTGTGCTTTTTAGATTGCAACCTTCTGAGAATGCCTTTGAATTACGCTTTTTTGATGATGGGGGAAGCGACCTAACTTTCGACTCGTTCCTTGATTTTTTTCCAGATTTTGCATGTAGCCTTCTAAATGCCACTTGAAGAAAAAAGTCAGTGCCAGTTTAGCCCTTAAATACGTCAGCATTGTGCTGGGCCCTGGCAAAGTCGAGACGCTTTCAAACCGGCTGCCTATAGGCTGGTTAACCTCCCTGCCGTTCCTTTCCTCCTATTTTCCTTCCTTCCTTCCTTCCTTCAGACCTTGCATCTATGAGTAATTATATAGACGCAACTGGAGGAGCTGGCCCAGCTCCAACGTCACCTAATACTACACCTTGCAAATACATCGAGCAAATATGAACTAAGATTTTCTATCGATTAACTGGTGTAGTTTTCTCTTGTTTTTGTTGTAGTGAAAGATCATTGAAATTGGAGTTTACTATAATCAACGTTTTTAAAAGTGAGCTTGTCTTCGGAAGGGAGCTACTTGACAAAGACATGTTCACAACAAAACATGTTGGCTCAAACGAAACCTTTTCTTCGCTGATTTTTAATTTCTTGCCCCTTCTATAGTACGCTGAAGTTGTTTCTTGTTTGTATTTCATTGCAGCGTTACGCGACAGTCATACTCCCGGCTACCGAGTCAAATGTGCTACACTATGAACTGGAGGCACGACCCCAAGATCGAAACAGTCCATCAGAACGTCTTGGCTTTCGGTACGTGCACAGACTTACTTTTTCCGCTTAATATTGCGTGCGTCATGAGGGTATCGAGATAACAGAGTTGGCCTATGCCTGGCTTTGCAAAGAAACAGGTCAGAGGTGCAAGTGCAGCTATCTGTCGACGAGAATAAGATTCTTACTGAGATACAGGTTTCAACGAAGATCTCACTGTGACAGTACACAAACCCCGGCAGTTCAGTGACGCTGCGTTTGATGTCCCAGCAATGAATAGTTCCTTGAAGGGATAAAGACTGGTTGGTAAGATCTCTAATATCTTTCTGGTAGAGTTTTGCGCAACGTCTGAGGTCTAGGGAATGCAAATAACAAAGCGTTATAGACGCAATATTCACGTTGTTATAAAGCGCTCACACACAAACATCTGCGGTGAATGAAAAGTCGTTTCGCATCTCTCTGTGCTCGCGAGTAACCGTACCTCAGCACATAATTTCACACTTAGCAAATTTATTAAATTTGCTCAGTGCCCCATAAAGTTTTTATAGGTATGTACCGACTACTATGTTGGTACATACGTGTGAGTGAATAGGGGATGAAATTGAGAAAACGTTTCATTTGTGCGAACGACATTTCCAGAGATGAACGTGCTCTTTGCCTGGCCTGAAGACGACGTCATAGAACTGGACGAATTCGAAATGAATTTGGGCTTTCACCACGTCGACACAAACACCGCCGGAAAGAAGCACGCCATGGCTTTCAAGCCTTCGGGCGACTTCGTGTTCGGAATCGTGCAGGTTAGTAGTTTCAGACAATCGACAACTGTGCCACTAAACAGCACTGCAATCAACTGACGGATCGCACTGCGTCCTTGAGCATGTGCCGGTCACATATTCTTAGAAAGAGATCTGTCCGCTGTGAGAAATAGGAAATTTTGATGCCAATTTTTCCCCCTTACAGTTATAAGTTCGGTTGTGTCGCGCTCAAGTATACCAAGCATTTTCCAACAAACAGTGGCCGCTTCAAGATGCTTGAAAATATTTGCCTTGCGGATGTCTTGCTGGCATTGCATGCATTTCTTTTTCTCCGTTGTTGTACCATGTAGGAATTGTGGACCATAGGTACGTGGCTTCTTCGTCATCCTTATTTACGCTAACCACGAACCGTAAAATAATAATGTGTCAAATAATCAGTCTGTGTTCAGCACATTATTTTATCCCAATATTTTAATTGTAGATTATAATAACTGCCGAGAAGAATGACGCTATAGAATAACTTACCCGTGCACACTTTGACGCATCCGCTATTACTAACGGGGCACCTAAAGAGCTCGTATTGCTTCACGACTAAGGCTCACTTTGACACACATATAAAAACTTACAGCAATTTTGTTCTACGTTTTCTCAGATGTCTCAATTTAGGTAGTAATTAATTACAATATATTGATTTCGTTAGTGCCTGTGTGCTTTCTTATTTCGATTTATACATGAAATGCGTGTGGAAAAAATTACCAGGTTGTGGAAGAAATCAAACATCGGAGATATAACTTCTTTTTAGAAGTTTGCCAGTCTTAGTTGGTCACTTTTTTTGACGTTCGTGTTTTTATGATCGCACAGCGGCTGCCCCTTATACTAGCCATCTGTTGCCAAATAAAAATTTGTGTCTTTTCAATCGCTGTATCCTAGCATTCCTTAAATAAAATTTCGTTTGGGGGCGATGTATTTGAAGGAGGGAGTGGTATCTCTGCCTGCGCCCTTCGCCACCAAGTGTGACAACTACAGCCGGTATCTGCGCCTCCCCAACTACAAAGTGAAGTATTCAAAAGAGGTGAGCCGAACCTTCTCTAGTCACCTGACCTGTTCATTGAGAAAATTTGTAGCGAATGAAGGATTAAGAATTAGAATTATGACTTGGCTAGTTGGTACAGATTCGTGATAAATTAAGGCAGGTGTGCAAGCATGGACCTAGGAGACAAATCGAAGAACTCACTTGGGTTGACCTGATTCATCTTTTGTACCCATGTTTCCAGGGCCTGGCGTCTTTATCACGGAATTAATGTTACTTGATCGCGTTTCCAATCTCATTTCTGTTTCCTTACCCTATATCTCAAGATATGCTACGAAGAATGCCGGAAGGAGATAACGCGAGAAGTCTGCGGGTGTATTCCAAATGATTATGCATGGCGAAATCACATAAGCGACAAGGTCTGCGATTTACATGAAACTAGTAAGTCATGCTCGAATCTGCGTGTACTCAACAGAATACATTAATATTTTTAATTATTCTCAATGAAGTTTTCTACCTACCTACCTACCTACCTACCTACCTACCTACCTACCTACCTACCTACCTACCTACCTACCTACCTACCTACCTACCTACCTACCTACCTACCTACCTACCTACCTACCTACCTACCTACCTACCTACCTGCCTGCCTGAAATCCTAGCTGAGAAGTCTCGAGTGAACAATCGTGTTAGGATTCTGAACCATATTCTTTATTCAATATGAAAAAAAAAACTCGAATGAAGAAGTCACTAGCGTTATTTGTCTTTTTAGTTTCGAAGTTGGATGATTGCGGACCTGTTGTGTTCCTGCTTCTTTTCCCCTTAGAGATCTTTTTTACTGTGTGTTCGCAGTGGTATATGGGCACTCCAACAGCCATTTTATTGCACGTAAAATTCTCCACCCATCCTATCCGGCGCTATAAGCTTTTCCATGGTTGGCACTGGAAGAATTTCTTCATATCAAAGTTACCGTACCACAATATGCGTAGTATTAAAATGTCCATGTGATAAGCATTCAAAGATTGGCTACTGTTAGAGGCGACTACTGCAACTCCTTTAAAATTAAGGCCTAATTAAAACTAACCCCTCCCTCTGCCCCGAATTTTAAGTCATGGCATATAGGGCGAAAAATGACCAAGGTGGTGCCGCCCCGAAATCAAGAAGGTGCCACCATCCCCCCCCCCCCCCACCCCCAAAAAAAAAAGGCTACACCTCAGGTCAAAAACAGTAGATACATACAATCACCTGTGTGCAAAGAACGTCTTTGTTCAGTTTAACATTCGAACATGCCTGGCAAAATCTGACATTCTGAAGGTAAGGGACACTGCTTTTTTTTTTCTTTCTGCTTCTTACCCTCAGCCAACTGCGTCCATGCCGATGGCAGAGCGATGTACAGCGTAATCTGCAACGACCGCTGTCACACAGCGTGCAGGTGGGCATCATGTCTTCATGGCTGACTTTAACGTCTAGCGATGAGAAGATAGATAGATAGATAGATAGATAGATAGATAGATAGATAGATAGATAGATATGTGTGGTTTAATGTCCCAAAGTCACCATATGATTATGAGAGACGCCGTATACAGTGGAGGGCTCCGGAAATTTTGACCACTTGGGGTTCTTTAACTTACACTCATATCTGAGCACACGGGCCTACAGAATTTTCGCCTCCATCGACAATGCAGCCGCCGCAGTCGGGATTTGATCCCACGACCTGCGGGTCAGCAGCCGAGTACCACTAGAGCACTAGAACACAGCGGTGGTGCATTGATCAGAAGAAGCAATACGAAAGATAACCCCGCTACTAATTATGCTGCTGTTGTTTCATGCTACATAACTCCTCATCTGTATTTCATGGTTTAATGCCAAATCTACAAAACGTCACTTTACAATGATTAGTTTTGCCACAGTGCAGCGTACTCCTTTGAACGCTAAGAACTTCAAAGTGAGCATTACATCAGACCGTCTCGAAATACATGTCGAGATGGTTATCTGTCAGGTTGATGTACGCATTTGACTGCACGTGCAGTTTTCTTGCGTTGCTGGCCGAAATGTTCTACGTGAATAGTGTACAGAAAATTGCATGCAATTTTCGCGCAGTATGATTCGCCGAATTGTATCTTACTGCGATTCAAAGCACACAGTTATTGATAGAATGATCATGTTTCCGAAATGGCCGTTTCCTTCAAGCAAGTTTGAATGAAATACACGTACACTTTAAAGAATGCAATAATAAATAAGTGGTAAGAGTTGTAAATGCCTGTTTTTGTTATGTGGGATTCTACTACTTCCAATACGTTGTTTATGAGGCACAAGTGGTAGACTGAAAGTTGATATGACTTGCACTTTCAATAATTAATCAGATGCCTGCATTTTCAGGTACATAATTTAGTCATGAGATTGTTGGACTTTATTTACCATTATTAGAAAAATCAACAAACGTATGAAGCGTTGTAGCAGTGAAGTCCGCTTATTATAAAATATTTGCTACTTAAATTAATTGAAAAGAAAAAAAATTACACGCGGAAAAACGAAATAAAAAATTGTAATAATGCTTTATAAAGCAGGGCGCCTACTTCACGAGTGCGTACAAAACCAAAACAATATTTTCAAACATAACTGTGTGATCCTACGCAGGGAGACGATATACAAAGCGACCCAGTCGGCATGGAAACAAGAAACTAGCGTGTCTATGGAGGGGTGAGTGCTTTGTCTACGGATTTGAAGAAAGAAAAGAAAAGTAGTTCTTATCGTTAGCCTTCGCGGGGGTTCGTCGGATAACGAAATATTGCTGCTGCAAGTAGTTGTGATGTCACAAGCACAATGTCCCTTTTAGTAAAAGTGCATGTTGCGTTAAAAAACAGGAGAAAATCCCACTAAACGTGCTGTACATATAATTTCGAGAAAATTGACTTTTATACGAATTTTCAATATTGCGAACAATGATGGTGGTGATAATAATAATAATAATAATAATAATAATAATAATAATAATAATAATAATAATAATAATAATAATAATATAATAATAATAATAATAATAATAATAATAATAATAATAATAATAGCAGTAGTAACAAGATGAACATGGAGGCTACTATAATGCTTGACTTAGGTATGTATTGGTGGCAACCACACGTCAGCGTTCCTGTACCCAGGCGTATTCCTTGAGTGCACTTTTTCTTTCCTCGCGTAGCCGAAGTGGGTTCCAGAGGTCACTCAGAAAGAAGCTCTTGGTTGAGATCTGCTCCGCCAGATGTCGCAACAATCTCGGCTACTCGCAAAAAAAAGTGTCCGCCGTCTTAATGAAGTCATTCAGTTATTGTCATTATTAACGTGAAAGTTCCTTTTTACCTATCAGCAGTAAGCGTATGCTCTGGCATCACAGGTATCCATTAAAACTCTAAAGGGGCTTTTCCATACTTTTGTGCGTGGCCAGAAAACATTGCCGATTGGTAGCTCAGGCTTCTGACAACACGTGAGCCAAACATTAGAGCCCCGCACGAGGCCTTTAATTTGCAACTATTTATCTAGCTGAACTAGAAATCGCTCTCCATCATCTCGGCGAACCGTGCCATTTGTGTCGACGGCCCTGCCATAGACACGAAGTCTACGGCCGTTGGTTGATTTGAGTATTGTGAGTCGCATGGTTACCATATCTGCCACTAGATGCCACCACGTGCCTGCGCTAGGGCGGGTAACTATGGATCCACTCATGTGGACGGTTGCACTTGAAAACGGAAGAAAGGAAGCATTTAGCACAAGCATTTAAATTCGTTCCATTTGTTTACCGGAATTCAGTATGGTATGTCTGTCAAGCGGCAGTTATGGTGTACAATGATTTAACGAGTGCCTTATCCTTCTTTTTTTCTTTTTCCCTTTCAGACTCACCTTCGTCAAAGTGCGTGCACTCATGACGTCAAGGAGCGTCGACGCACTGCACTTTATTCCTCTATTAACGGTCAGTGAGATCACTTTCTACACTTTGGCAGAAAACCTTCACTTTATCAGCACTTATTTGTACTTCTGCAGCGCCAGTAAATTTTTCAAGGCAAATAGTGTGTGAACGCTTTGATACAGACCTTTTTGATAAGGACCGTGGCAACAGCTGTGAGCCAGCTAGCAGCTATCAAGCAGCAAGCAGCATTTGAACTTAGACTAACATACGACTCGTAAAGATGGTAAGAATATGAAAAGCAAAGTTACCTCTGGTTTCTTACTCTACACTGAGTGAGAAGAAATGTTAGATGGAAAAAGGTAGCAGGACAGGCCCGGTTTCCAGGCTCAGTCTAAAGGCCCGAAATATTTCATTTCCACACAGGGCACCCAAGTGTTAGGTCTCGTAGGAGGCTACTCTGGTTTCTGGATGGGCGTGGCTATTGTTGTGGGGGCCACCGAAAGCGTGAGGGTCGTCTTCGACTTCTGCCGCCGACGTGTTCGTGGAAGGCTCCGCAAGGCTGAGTGAGTACGACGTTATCGTATGAGGCGAAATACCTCTCCCGCTGTAACTACGCCATAATATTCGTAATAGCACTGTCTTAAGTTATACCTGTGACACAGATGGGAAGTAAGTTGAGTGGAAGAAAAGGCAACTTGCCATCGGCAGGAACCGAACGTATACAGCCTTGGGATTACGCGCTCTTACCAAATGAGCTAATGCTGTGGTTAGCCATGCTGCGTAAGGCCGTTTCTTTTTTCAATTAGGCAGGAGTTTTGAAGTTTATTTTGAGCAAAATGAAATCATTTTCAATCGCGCTATTCAAGGAAGACCACTTAAGTATACTAGAGATGGAAAGACGTGAAAATATAAGGGCTCGGCCTTCTTTGTTATATACAAAAAAAAAAAAACGAGCCCGTCGCAAGAATGTGTACAAAGTTTAATGAGATATTTCTGATGTCAATCAAACTCCGAAATTGCATTTTAAAGTCCCAAGAAGACATTTCGAGGGCCGTAATAGAGTCTCGTCATGTGCTTCGACACAGGAAGGTGTTCAAAATTGGCGCGCGATTCGAGGCCCGTTGCATTTCGGCTCCACTCCGCACGATGTCGGTAGCGACAATGTTGATTCCGTTAAGCAACTTTAAGTTCTTTGAGGTTACAAAAGAACGCGTTGTGTACACACCGAAAGCGTGTTCCCACCGCCCATCATAGCATGGTTTGGCAATTAAAAAAAATTAACCTGTTTCCTTCAGCCTTGAATGTGCACATGAAGTGGGCATGGGCGTCTTATATCTGCTTCTTTTTTTTTTTTTACTTGATCTTGTATGAAATAAAACATCGAACATTAGTAATAAACGCAAGGGTAAGATTAGTGAACGGGGTTAGGGGGAAAGGGACAGTGAAAAAAAATTAATAGATAGGCGGGATGCACGGGTCTATTAACGATGAAACCCTCGCCTTAGGATTCACAATGGTGACAATCTAATTCATTGTGACAAAAAGAAAGAAGAGAACAGTGCACCACACACCGCATTTAAAATACAAAGAGAAGTCCTGACCTATAGAGGAGAAGTGGTTTGACGGGATAACGGGGAGTAAAATTTGACGACGGAAATATGACGAAATATAACACACTACACTTTCCCAGTGTTCGGGTGTCCACAGAGCGTGAAAGTCCGTATGGATAAGAAAAGAAAGATGTACGCAGAACCTGAATGGCCTCAGGAACAGTTTTAACTATGCCCGGCGGGGGTGAATCTTGTTTATTGTTTTAAATTTACGTGGACTCATTCTATTCTGTTTTTTGTTTGTTTGGTGAATTTTTCGCCAAACAATGGCTCGAATCTCAGACGTATAGGTCATCAAGAACGAGATTCTTGAAAGAGAACAATCATTAGTGCCACCGAAGCTTCACGGCTGTTGCGGTTGTCAGAATTTCTTCCATATTTGCCAGCGCTGTTGTTAGTTAAAAATACCTTATTGAGTGAGTAGCTGATTAAGTAATAATTGTAGTTGGTATATCACAGCTGCAGGGCCTGAGCGCACCGCTGCTCATACCAGGTCTCTTGGACAGAAAGTACGGGCCTATAGCGCGGGACGCCGGGGTGACATGCTATTAATTTGCTCTGCGATTACAGCGAAGACGATCGTTTCGCCGTACGCGGAAGCGTATAGGTTTACCTTCGGGATAAGATCGACGCCTGCGCGTGTGATTAGTTTCCCGATGCCGCAGGATCACCTTTCTGTTCCGCGTGGTCAAGATGCTGATGGTGCAGGGATGCTTCGTGGCGTGCTCGTTCAGCGTCTACTGGGATTACGAGAACTACCGCCACTTCTACACGGCCGTCACCTACGAGCAAGAGAACATGCGGGGCGTCTTCTTCCCTGCCGTGACCATCTGCTCATACGAAGCGTGAGCCCCTTGTTGCTTCTGTAATGTTGCGTGAAGTTAGAGAGCCCCTATACCATTCCGCGTTCGAATGCGAGTGAGTATAGTTTTAAAAAGCGAAGCATTTCCTTGTATACTACATGCACTTTAGGCGTTTGTCTACATATACATTCATGCCCCGCCACGGTGGTCTAGTGGCTAAGGTACTCGGCTGCTGACCCGCAGGTCACGGGATCAAATCCCGGCTGTGGCGGCTGCATTTCCGATGGAGGCAAAAATGTTGTAGGCCCGATTACTCAGATTTGGGTGCACGTTAAAGAACCCCAGGTGGTCAAAATTTCCGGAGCCCTCCACTACGGCGTCTCTCATATTCATAGGGTGGTTTTGAAACGTTAAACCTCACAAATCAATCCATCAATCAACATATCCATTCATCTATCTATCAAGGCACCTACGTCTGGGTGCTCTCATGATCTCCCTCCCCCCCCCCCCCTTGACTTGGCGTAAACCAAAATTAGCACGAGAGGGTAAGATGGTTCAACGGATATGAATCGCTCGTCATTACATGAATAATGTCACAACCCTGTCGCATACATCGTCAAACACTATCCGCCAGACGTGCGCACATATCCGCCGGCGTTTATAATAAAAAAAAACTCACATCGGCAGCGTTGGCCTGACGAGAGCAAAAATAGATGTCAGGGCCCTATAGCAGGAATCGAGCCCTAGCATTCGGCGTGGCAATCAAGTAAGCTACCACAGAGCCACGCCAGGTCTCGGAACTACTATTTAAATAGGCGCCAATCTTCATGAAACGTCAGTTGTGGTTGCAGTACGTGTTTGCTATCCATGCAATTTTATAAACACGAAATGTGTACATTTACGATGCAGCCGTGACGTTGGGTTAACGTCACTTGTAGTTAAGCGCCATCCACTTATTTTGATTATTGTAAGAATGTGCTGGATTATACACCCTCGCGAGCACCAGCGTTAAACACAAGCTTACCACTTCTGGTGCTGCTAATATCGATGTTACTGTCAGCCTCCCGCTGCACAACTGTACACTGGTTATATAAAACCAATGAGGCTGTATAACGACTGTCTGTGCGTGAATTTGTATATATCTTTAGCGCCACTTCGTAACGATTCTCTCAATAAAAAAAATCAACACACTCACCTTCCATCCGCATGCTTCGCATAGCATCGATTCCCAAGGTACACGTGATCTGCCGAATTTTCTCTTGCCTTTGCAGCTACCCTTCTTATAGGCGCTATCTCCCCATTGCCGCTTATTCATTCATATAGAACATGTGGACACTTCAGCACTAACTGTTTCGCCTATCAGGAGTCTTTCGTTTCGGCTACATGCCGTTATCTGCGCTATAGTGCAGATGAAAATGTGCCAAAAAAAGTGACATCAGTGGATCGATCATGACAGTGATACTAGACAAGTCACTACGGACGCGTGACTGGATGGCAGAACTGAGCAGTAGATAATGCACATCCCTGGTACATGGATCAATTGAAAGCTTATTTCCTGATGACGTGACGCGAAAAAACTACTGACTTCAAGGATAGTGCCGAACGAGCGGGGGAACATCAGAAGAGAACTGCGAGCTCGTTTTAGTATTTTCACGGGTTATTTAGGGGTCCTTCAATGTTTTCCGTGGTTGTTATTGCCGCGTTATAGGGTTGTGCAACTATTAGAACATCTTATTTTGCCGCATAATCTGCTTGAGCTTTATTGGAACCTTGTTTTACAGTACGTCTGTGTGCGAGACCGGACTACAGATACCTTAATTCCTGTACGTGGGTACGCGGCAGCCAGAGCGGCCACGATGCACTTATCATGGACAGTGCTTGTTCAAGTGACCAGCATATGTAGCCTTTATTGCAATAGTCGAGAAGATACAGTACATACAAGTGAATGCTCATACGGCGAAGAGCTGCCCCATAGAAAAATCGAGGGCGAACGAAGAAGGATCACATCACTGAGCGCTCATCATCATCATCATCATCAGCCTGACTACGTCCACTGCAGGACAAAGGCCTCTCCCATGTTCCGCCAGTTAACCCGGTCCTGTGCTTGCTGCTGCCAATTTATACCCGCAAACTTCTTAATCTCATCTGCCCACCTAATCTTCTGTTTCCCCCAACCCGCTTCCCTTCTCTGGGAATCCAGTCAGTTACCCTTAATGACCAGCGGTTATCCTGTCTACGCGCTACATGCCCTGCCCATGTCCATTTCTTCTTCTTGATTTCAGCTATGATATCCTTAACCCCCGTTTGTTCCCTAATCCACTCTGCTCTCCTCTTGTCTCTTAAGGTTACACCTACCATTTTTCTTTCCATTGCTCGCTGCGTCGTCCTCAATTTAAGCTGAACCCTCTTTGTAAGTCTCCAGGTTTCTGCTCCGTAGCTAAGTACCGGCAAGATACAGCTGTTATATACCTTCCTCTTGAGGGATAGTGGCAATCTACCGGTCATAATTTGAGAGTGCTTGCCGAATGTGCTCCGCCCCATTCTTATTCTTCTAGTTACTTCAATCTCGTGGTTCGGCTCGGCGGTTATTACCTGCCCTAAGTAGACATAGTCTTTTACAACTTCAAGTGCACTATTACCTATCTCTTTCGTTTTCTGCAGATTAATTTTAAGACCCACCTTTCTGCTCTCCTTGTCTAACTCCGTAATCATGAGTTGCAATTCGTTCCCTGAGTTACTCAGCAATGCAATGTCATCGGCGAAGCGCAGGTTACTAAGGTATTCTCCATTGACTCTTATCCCTAACTGTTCCCATTCTAGGCTTCTGAAAACCTCCTGTAAGCACGCGGTAAATAGCATTGGGGAAATTGTGTCCCCCTGCCTTACACCCTTCTTGATTGGTATTCTGTTGCTTTCTTTATGAAGCACTATGGTAGCAGTTGATCCCCTGTAGATTTCTTCCAGAATGTTTATATATACTTCATCTACGCCCTGATTCCGCAGTGCTTGCATGACGGCTGATATTTCTACTGAATCAAACGCCTTCTCGTAATCTATGAAGGCTATGTATAGTGGTTGGTTATACTCTGAGCATTTCTCTATTACCTGATTGATAGTATGAATGTGGTCAATTGTTGAGTAGCCTGTTAGAAATCCTGCTTGTTCCTTTGGTTGATTGAATTCTAATGTTTTCTTTACTCTGTTAGCAATTACCTTTGTAAATAGCTTGTATACTACAGAGAGCAAGCTGATCGGCCTGTAATTCTTCAAGTCCTTGTCACCTCCTTTCTTATGTATTAAGATGATGTTAGCATTCTTCCAAGACTCGGGTACTCTTCCCGTCAGGAGACACCTCGTAAACAGGGTGGCTAGTTTTTCTAACACAATCTGTCCTCCATCTTTCAGCAGATCTGATGTTACCTGATCCTCACCAGCAGCTTTGCCTCTTTGCATGCTCTCCAAAGCTTTTCTGACTTCTTCTATCATTACTGGTGGGGTGTTCTCTCGGTTACTGCTAGTTCTTATAGTATTAAGGTCGTGGTTGTCTCGGCTGCTGTACAGATCTCTGTAAAACTCCTCCGCTATTTTAACTATCCTATGCATATTGGTAGTTATTTTGTCTTCTTTGTCCCTCAGTGCATACATCCGACTTTTGCCTATCCCAGGTTTCCTCTTCAATGCTTTGACACTTCCTCCGTTTTTCAGAGCGTGATCAATTCTCTCCATGTTATACCTTCTTACATCGCATACCTTACGTCTATTAATCAACTTCGAAAGCTCTGCCAGTTCTATTTTGTTTGTTGTACTTGACACTTTCATGATTTGACGCTTCTTAATTAGGTTCTTCGTTTCCTGGGAAAGCTTGCCAGTGTCCTGTCTTAATACCCTGCCTCCAACTTCCACTGCACACTCCGTAATGATACTCGTCAGATTATCATTCATTGTATCTACGCTAAGGTTGGTTTCCTCACTAAGAGCCGAGTACCTGTTCTGCAGTGACACTCTGAATTCCTGTACTTTCCCTCTCAGTGCTAGCTGATTGATTGGCTTCTTGCGTATCAGTTTCTGTCGTTCCTTCTTCAAGTCTAGGCTAATTCGAGACCGTACCATTCTATGGTCACTGCATCGTACCTTGCCGATCACTTCCACATCCTGCACGATTCCAGGGTGTGCACTCATTATAAAGTCTATTTCGTTCTTATTTTCGCCATTAGGGCTCCTCCATGTCCACTTGCGGATTTCTCGTTTTCGGTAGAAGGTATTCAAAATCCGTAAATTATTGCGTTCTGCTAATTCTACTAGTAGCTCTCCTCTGGCATTTCTAGTACCGATGCCATAATGTCCTACTGCCTGGTCTCCAGCCTGCTTCTTCCCTACCTTTGCATTAAAGTCACCCATCACTATAGTATACTGTGTTTTTACCTTACTCATTTTTTTAAGAAAAGGCGGCAATTTAAAAGCAATCACCGATCGTTCGTGGCAATTTTAGAAAGTCACGCTTGCCCAGTAAAGGCCAGATGAGTGTAACACAAGTCACATGACGTGTGGGAAAAAGACGCTCGTGTCAACGAAACAAGTGAAAATCGTAACGTGAAAAGTACAAAGAAGACGATATACATGAAAAAAAAACGAAGACAAGTATAATCGGCCAGTTAGCCCATTTATATAGTACATTAAGCTAGTTTTTGTTCAAGAACTGAAGACAGTTTAACGCGACATGCTCTTATTTCATAAAAGACTCCTAACAACCCTCTAAATACACACACACACACACACACACACACACACACACACACACACACACACACACACACACACACACACACACACACACACACACACACACACACACACACGCACGCGCGCGCGCGCGCGCACGCACACGAGCACACACACAAAAAAGCGAGCGCGTCATTCTATTCTGAAAGTCGCCTTTCTCGGGTCCTTCATAATGCAAGAACGGTAATTCACGTTCCTTCATTGTCTTACATAGTCTCTACTGGTTCATGTGCGCAAGATATCAGTTGTGAACTGTCCCTTACGTTGCTCTGTCGTGAAGCCGGCCACCCGTTCTTCCTTGTCTCGCCCTATTGTGCGCGGGCAGCCGATGTCACTTCATTATGTGCGTTTCCGAATGCGCAAGGGGAGGTGACAGTGTGTAGCCGACGAGTGCGAAATCTCGACATACGCTCATCGCTCAGTGTTGACACTGTACACGTGTTTTATGAAAAAAAAATAAGTGGAAAAAATCTTTCTCAAGAAGGGAAGCAAGGATGAGAAAGAAACTACTTCCTCGTTTTTCAATGCGCGGTGCTGAGGGCCGCTTCAAGAATGGTAATAAATTCATCATAAAGACCTTCGAAGTAAAGAATGACAGTTACCTCTTTCTGCCGCAAGATCACGTTAAACGGTGATTTTACGTGCGCTCTTTACAGCGTGAACTTCACCAGGATGTGCACAGAGTACGGAAGATACAACAAGTGCATCGCCGCTACATTCGTAAGCACGTCAATCTGTTTCTCTAAAAAAAAAGATATCAATCTCATTATAAACATAACGGGAACCAAAAGCAGTGGCTTCCTATAGTGTTTTTTAAAGTCTCAGTTATTGCACTTGGCCATCTGATACGCAATTTGATTGTTCTTGCTTCTCAATTCATCTAACCCTCATTTTTTATATAATTGTGCAATGCATTGGGTAATCAACAGGAGCGTGAAATAAAAGGGCAGACGCAGTTTACCTGTGAGATGCACTAAAAATATGGCATTATTTGTCCACGAGGACATAAAATCTCGTCACTCGAGGGAAATTATTTCTGTTATCTTTTGTCCTTTCATTTCTAAAATCTCGATAACAACCACCCCTTGTCTGCGACGCCACGTTCAGCGGTTGCATTCATAATATATGCATGAAGTGCAGGAATCAGGTGGAATGCTACAAAAAAAAAGCGTTCTATGTTCAATGCATAAATTACACTGGACATCCACAAAAAGTGATAATGTTAACGATTTAATCATATTGCGTTACACATTATAATCCCGGATAGTAAGCGTACCTTAATCACTAATATTTATTTGCGAAAACAGGTTCTAGCAATATTGTGCAAAGATGTCGGAGTCTCCCTGCTATTGCAAATTTATCTGTGTTCATTTCTATAAGCGTTTTTGTAGATCATACTACGCACTTTGTCCTTCGTAAGCTTTTAGGTTAAGCTAACCTTTTTTCTCAATTAGCATGTTTTCTCCACCGATGTTCTTTTCTGCGATACGTATAGTATTGAGGGTACGCAACGCAAGGATACCATCGCCATTGTGCATTTTGCAGTTTTGCAGGCACTGTATCATCGGAAAGCTTTTTTTTCTAAGTTAATGTTGCGCTTCTTTTTTTCAGGATACGACAGTGGGCAATGATATCGTCGCCATGAAGTACGTTATCAACTACACCTATCCCCCGGCTGACGTCTTTTCAAATTGCACCATGACCTTCTCAGGAGAGATCTGCGAAAGCTTCAAGTGCGACAACCTGTAAGTATACAGCTTGCCAGCCGGCTAAACTACGTGCTCATTTGGTGTTCTAACCAATTAAAATAATAAAAAATAAAAGGTAATTCGTTCATTCAGGTTGCAAAAAAATTGCGTGACACGTGGTTTTTTTTTTCGTTGATAGAAACACCATTAGAGTTTCGCAGACTTCTATAGGACATGATAGATCATCTACGTTCAGTTGCTCAATACCGGGACAGCCAAGGTGGATCTACACAAGCAATGCTTCGTGTGGCAAGGACCAGCCGCATTTATCATGTGGTCGATGCTACATCGGTCAGACGGGACGCTGTCTGAAGGATCGCCTTAGGGAGCACGCAAATCTGATGCGCGAATCAGTGTGCAGCCACTTGGCAAGTCACTGTGTGAATTGTGGGTGCACCCCGAAGTTTGATGAATGCCAAGTAATGGCAAGATAGAAGGACCAGAGGGCGCGTGAAATATATGAGGCTTTTTTAATTCGTAAAGCAGGAACTGAGTGTGTCAGTGCCCCGTCCGTAAATCTGTTGGATAATGAATACAAGTATCTTTTCAGTTAGGTTGTCAATTAAAGATTGGAATAAGGTGGCCTGGCGCATGCGCGAATAATTGTCTTTTCTTCTGTGTGTGGTCTCCTCGCCCTCTTGACTGTAGATATATTCCCGCAATCTGTGCAATAAAATTGGTCGTAAGTGCTCTGTCCTATCTCACTGCTCTATCTTCTTTCTCAAACTTTCCCTGCGCACTAAGAAAAGTAAGTGTCTTTCAAAATGCAATACCAACCAGCCCAAGTAGCCACTCTTTTTCAGCCGCAGAGCGTTGCGCAAACAAATGCTTTTTTTTAAATGTGTTGACGTACGCAATACAGCAGTTTTGGTTTCAGCATGTTGTAACCTGTATTACTATGCGTAGGTCGGCAAGCTCTCTTATCGGTAGACCTACTTGGACTCACTAAACTCAAATTTTAGCTTGAGTTTGAGTTTGATCGAGTCTGGGTGAGTAAAATGCAGGTGAATTCGTTCGTAAACCATATTTGTGAGTGTTGCTCCGCGTGAGTCGGGTTCAGGAAAATATTATCGAGTCTGAGTGTGATTGAGCCCTAATCGCAATATGTACTTAATAAGCGAGTTTCACTGAGCTCCACTTTTTCTTTTTTTTTCTTTGCCAACCAATTGTCATTTATATGTTCACCTTCACCATTACTATTAGTCTTACATCGGCTCATTTTTGTATTTGCGTCTATTTGCATATTTCAATGCCCTGGCATCACATGGCACCTCCATTTTTATTGATCAGAAGATTTACTCAGAGGTGGGGGGGGGGGGGAGGCTTGACTACTTTTCCTCCGCCGCGAACTCTTTCACGGCAAGATATTTTTTTATAAAAGTATGTTGTGTGAATCCTGTCTTGATAAAACTGTATTTAGTCATTGAAACCATCGATAGCCCGCTATCTGTACGTACGAGATCAAAAGTTGCCACGTAGGGCACCGATCATATGAGATATTGGCGTTAAAGAGCATTGACACCATGATCGAAAAAGAGGATTTTACGCTAACTCACTCATAAGTTGATTCAGTCATGCTAACACAGACCGAGTCGTAGGTGTGCCTGGTGGGCCTGGCTAAGTAAAAATGTTGGTGACCTTGAGTCCCAGTAAGTCCAGCTGAGGAAAAATTGCACTAATATACTCCAGTACAACTGCTCAACAAAAAAGAGACACAGACAACAGAGAAGACATACTGGCGTGTTCTATGTTTTCTGTGCCTTTTTAATTTTTTTTCTTTGTGCACAGTTGTTCTGAGTTATGAATTACGAATTTACTCGAAATACTGCTCTCATATTAATTCAGTCCGCGTAAGATCCAAATTTTTTGCCCGTATGTGGTGGTCGGTAACAAAGCCTGGCGTAATAACGGCGATGTTTGATTGCAAACGACAATGAAAAGCAAAAAAGCGTACGGGTAACACTATTTTCACAAACGCTTCGGGCCGGAAAACATCAATGTCTATATAGCGATCGGCAAGGGAGCCCAACACACTGAGGTCTTTCTGGACCTCGAAACATTTCGCGGGATCCCGCTTAAAATTTCTAGCTCTTACAAAGCCTCATTGAGTCTCGCCATACTTTTGGTTGCCCTTGATAAGACCTCACAATTGTGTTCGTTAATTTAAGTAATCGAGAGTACGACGTACTCTCATAAAGGGGAGCATTAAGCTGGCTCTTGGAATGTGTACTCCTTCTGGTAAAAGTCGAATCGATCTACACGTAGCCACATGTAAACTACATCCACGAATGTGCATAGCTCTCACCGTGCACAGACTATGCAACGCAGTGGGCAGCGGAAGTGGGAAGTAAAATGACAACTCGTACCTGAGTATCAAGAGCTTAAGGAATATGTTTGGGACCATTCCTTTAATAAGGCTGTCGGGCGACGTGGTGCCTGCGGCTCGGATAAACAAAAACGAGCTGCCGGCGAATGCGAGTGCTGGGCACATACATCGACTGGCTACGGTGGTGTTTTCCGGAGAGTGAACCTTCGAGAACACGTAGTGTTGAGGGTCGGAACATCTTTGCCAGCGGAATCTACGACCGGGCGGTGGGCCCAGGCGATTGCGGGGGCCTCTGACAGCTACGGCTGCTAGCGTCTACACAACGAGCTCGAGGCTACAATTTGTGACTTCAAATGCTCGCCACGGACTGTGACTCTGCTGCGCTAAATGGCCCGACGACTACGGCGTGGCTGACCTCGACGGCCGGAGGCATTCGAGCATTGTGGCCAAACCATGGGACGTGGCCTTTGCCCGAGAACACCGCATGCCCGAACTTAGGAAGACCCCGTGCAGCAGAGTTTTTAACAGACGCACGGGGAGGGTTTGCGGAGAGGCGAATTCCGGAACGCGCCGAGTGTGCATGGTGAGAAATTGGCAGATCCCACGTACAGTGGGAATCGATGATGTGCGAAGCCCGAATGAGGAAGGTTGATATGCAACTTTCAAATCAGCCCATTACGAGGTAGATGTAAATGATCCCGTTCATGACTTCCGTGTCATGATTATCGTGTTTGGATTTGTCGTTTACCTTCGTCATCTATTCACGTCATGTGATACCAAATTTAGTATATGTGGAGCTTGCGAAATGGCTTAGAGCATGTTATGAGCGTGGTATGTTGTCATGTTCTTACAAGACACGCGTGTCAGGATTCTCACGTATGCAACAGTCATATATTTCATCATCCATTGACGTCACGTAACACTGAATTTCGTATATGTGGAGCTAGAAAAACAGCCGCGAGCTCATCATGATGGGCCCAATATACTCCGACGTAACGTTGACGCGTGAGCACGCTGGGCACAGCGACGCTACGTTAGCAAAATGCGAGCACTATATAATTGTCTAACGCCAGACGCGACCAGCGTCCGTCGGCGCGGCCCGACGTCTGCTGACGCGAAATGCGACATGCTGCATTTGGCGCCGACGCGTTATTCAGACACCACTGTGTCGCCCTCTTTTCATGACGGAGGGACGCCGGACGCGCTGAAACACGCATGCGTCAAAGCAACGCAGCACGGCGCCCGCCTGCGAGTATATGGCAGGACCGACGCCTACCGTAGCAACGCCGGCGTGACGCGACGAAATGAACGCCGGCGAGCACGCACACCACGTCACGTTGCAATGCATTGGCGCCTTGATTGTGGTATGTAGTCATGTTCTCACATGACACGCATATCATGATTATCATGTTTACACCAGTCACATACTTTCGTCATTCAATAACGTAACGTAACACCAAATTTAGGATATGTGAGGCTAGGAAACGACCGCGAACGCATCATGAGTATGGATGTGGTCATGTTGTTACATGGCACGCATGTCGTGATTACCATGTTTGGATGTGTCATTTACCTATGTCGTTCGTTCGCGTCACATACTACCGAGTTTGGTACATGTAAAGCTAGTGAAACGGCCGCCAGCGCATCATGAGCATAGCATGTAGTGATGTTGTTACATGACACGCATCTCATGTTTCTCATGTTTGCACCAGTATCATACCTTCATCATCCGTTTACGATCCGTAATACCGAATTCGGTATAAGTGAGGCTAGCGAAACAGCTGCAAGCGCATCATAAGCGTGTCATGTAGTCACGTTGCTACATGACATGTATCTGAGTATTATCGTGTTTGCACCAGTCACATACTTTCGGCATCCATTCACGTACCGTGGTATCAAATTTGGTGTTTGAGACGCTAGTGAAACGGCCACGAGCGCATCGTGAGCGTGGCATGCAATCATGCTGTTACATGGCACGCATGTAATGACTTTCATGTTATGGTCTGTCGCTTGTGTTCGCCATGCAATACCAGTTTTGCAAGATGGCATGTGAACGAAACCACCGCAAGAGCTGCAGGGCCATGAAATGTAAATCATGACATTCATGACATTCATGTCATGAATTTCATGTTATGACTACTCAAGTATGTTCTTCATACAGTCATGTTATGCCATACCAAGTTTGGTATCGATACCGTTATCGAAACAGCCAGGAGAGCTAAAAGTCGTAGATGGTAGATAGATAGATAGATAGATAGATAGATAGATAGATAGATAGATAGATAGATAGATAGATAGATAGATAGATAGATAGATAGATAGATAGATAGATAGACAGACAGACAGACAGACAGACAGACAGACAGACAGACAGACAGACAGACAGACAGACAGACAGACAGACAGACAGATAGATAGATAGATAGATAGATAGATAGATAGATAGATAGATAGATAGATAGATAGATAGATAGATAGATAGATAGATAGATAGATACGCTCAAAGTCGCCGAAGTTCGCTAAGAAATGATTCGCATTTAATAAACCAACTGCATATAACCAGTCAGAGCCTCATACCCACCAGTGACATACGAGAGTCGGCTTTCTCGGTTCGCACCGGAGAAAGGGGCATGCACACGAACTTACCCTTACCTTCTTTCTCTGTGTTATTGGCTTTGTGGGCCTGTTTCGTATATGCATCATCATAACGTGTAGTTCAGTTTCGCGCTACTTCGGGCCACTTCTGCGGCCACCTGCTACCGCTGTTCCACGGCCTAATAAACACCTGTGCGCATACGCGAGCGCACATTGTCTGATTGTTTAGTGATGTATTCAAGGCCTTGGCTCCGTTTACCCACTGGATTTTGTTTCGCCACGAACGAAGGAGCACCACTAGGTAGACAGTTATCGCTGTGCAGCGGTACTAAGTTCGGCACCATGCTTCGCGAAATGTAATTCATTAAACTACGGCTGCGTTCTTTGCTTTTTCTCTTTTTTTTCTCGCAAAATAGAGCTGAAGATGAAGACTTCACACGTGTCAAGTCTTCGGAGGAAATTCAATAGAGAATATCGACAAATACTGTCTGGTTCGAGGGCTTAGCGAATTTGGAATTTCAAAACACCGCGAGAATCGAGTAGAATCGCAAAGCCGCCGGGAGCATGAGCAACTAGTGAAAAAAGCTAGATGGATATCAACGAACTCGCCTGCGGCAAGTCAAGAAGTCTGGAAGATAAAATTTTCGCAAGGCAAGCTGTATTCCAATCAATAAGCTGTGGTTCGGAAGTTCGTGGTGAGGGTGTTTTTTTTTTTTTTGATGATTTGTGGGGTTTAACGTCCCAAAACCACCATATGATTATGAGGGACGCCGTAGTGGAGAGCTCCGGAAATGTAGACCACCTGGGGTTCTTTAACGTGCACCCAAACCTGAGCACACGGGCCTACACCATTTCCGCCTCCATCGGAAATGCAGCCGCCGCAGCCGGGATTCAAACCCGCGACCTGCGGGTCAGCAGCCGAGTACCTTAGCCACTAGACCACCGTGGCGGGGCGGGTGTTTTTTTATTATTTTTTTACTCAATTACAAAAAAAAATACTTCAAAGCCCTAATTTGCTTGGAGTATAACGATAATCAATGTGTCGTACAACGTTAAACTTCAAGGGCCACTCACCAGGTTTGACAATTTTGAGCTGACAAGCCCAATGCGTAGATAAGGCGTTTACGATCACGTCTGCCAAATTTGCAACGCTCCGCGTCATGGAAATGGGTCAAATTTCAAGATGAATGCTGCTCCTCCTTCCTTTGGCGAGCGCGCGCCCAGAGAAGGATGGCATGACGAGCATGCATGAATGGCCCTACGTGCACTGCAGTGCAGTGACGTTGGTCCTATACGCAGACGACTTTGCTCTGACGTTGCCAACAGTGGCACATGACATGGCGAAAACTATCTAACACGTCATGCGTACTTTATGTAATTTTTAGGGGCGAAGCTTCTTATAGCAGCACTCGTTCGTCCCTCGTAGTCGTAGTAGTAGTCGTATTGTGTAACCAGTCTTACATTTTGACCTCCAAGGTAATGCCGGTGAGAGATTTCTTCTGTGCGTTGTCGAACAATAAAAAATTCGCAGCGTGCGCGTTAACTAATAGCCGATTGATTGATTGATTTGTGGGGTTCAACGTCCCAAAACCACCATTTGATTATGAGAGACGCCGTAGTGGAGGGCTCCGGAAATTTTGACCACCTGGGGTTCTTTAACGTGCACCCAAATCTGAGTACACGGGCCTACAACATTTCCGCCTCCATCGGAAATGCAGCCGCTGCAGCCGGGAATCGAACCCTAACTAATAGCTGAATTCTCCTGTCTCTCATTGCCCCTTAGCAGCCATTGGCATGTACATTGAGCACTATATGACAAGAAAGGGTTGCTATGTTATACTCGCTGGGCGTAACCTCCTTGGTTTTAGAAAGGTTTAGTGAGCGTTGGGATGCAGTGCCATGCATACAGTGAACTAGTATATACCATGAACCCGAGGTGGTTAAAGGTGGGAAGTAGACCCGAAAGACAAGCCGTAAGAAAGTGTGCGTGTGCCTCTTCTCATTCAGTCCTTGGAATGTCCGCTGGATGGCAGTGCTTCCATATGAGGAATATGTGATGAAAAGATGCGAGATGGTGGTACTTGGAGTGTTGAATAGGTGGACGAACGGACACATAAACAGATGCATGGACGGACGCACGGATGGCTGCACGGACGGATGGACGCATGGACGGACGCACAGATAGACGTTTGGGCGCACGAACAGACGCACGTACGGACGGGCGGATGGACACACGGACGGAAGCAAGAATGAATGGACGGACGGATGCTTCGCCCCACTTTTTTTTATTGATATGATATATCAGGAGATGTTGGCGCACCATTATGGCGCCGGCTACTCCTTTGTTCGCCCCACTCTTCATCATTGACTCCGTGGATATGCTGCCATTTTTAAGAGATTAATAAAGCTCTAGATAAATAATGCGACGCAATAAGGGAATGGAAGCGTCTTTTTCCCATTTTTCGCCCGTGAATTGCAACAAGATGCGGGGCTAATGTGTCGGCGTTTCGCATGCGCTCGTGCTCCCGTGGTCAGCGCATCGAGCAGACGACCGCCGTGGAACGCTCCTACGCGTTTGCGCACTCACTGTGCTCATCTATTCTACCGCGTCTAAGCCAGAGTTTCCAAACCATCCCGCAGAAACAGGCAATAAACCTCAAAACAACGATGGTGGGCCCGTCATGCGCACGTGACTTCTTGGTCGGATGCCGGAGAGGGTAGGGAAGAGATTTGGCTTGCGATGGCTACGCCGAAGGGCGGCAAGGGTTTCGTAGGGTTTCGAGCTCGCTTCCTCTCATCCTCGTTTCACGCCGCTTCGAAAAAAAAAAAAAAAAAAAACGCTGCTCGCGTGCACGAGGGTTGGGCTTGTTTGGGCCCGTCATGCGCACGTGACTTCTTGGTCGGATGCCGGAGAGGGTAGGGAAGAGATTTGGCTTGCGATGGCTACGCCGAAGGGCGGCAAGGGTTTCGTAGGGTTTCGAGCTCGCTTCCTCTCATCCTCGTTTCACGCCGCTTCGAAAAAAAAAAAAAAAAAACGCTGCTCGCGTGCACGAGGGTTGGGCTTGTTTGGGCCCGTCATGCGCACGTGACTTCTTGGTCGGATGCCGGAGAGGGTAGGGAAGAGATTTGGCTTGCGATGGCTACGCCGAAGGGCGGCAAGGGTTTCGTAGGGTTTCGAGCTCGCTTCCTCTCATCCTCGTTTCACGCCGCTTCGAAAAAAAAAAAAAACAGTTTTCTCAGCTCGTGAACCGATGAAAATTTTGCGGCAAAGTGTTCCTCATCGGAAACCCAATAATTTCCACGGGCTTACTAAAATTTGGTACGGGGCCTGGTGAGCGGCCCTTTAACTTACGGTATAGGCTAACAAGGTAGGGGCGGCGCCAGGATGTTTTCACTGGGGTGGCAACCACGAAAAGTGAGTTCCTCCGGGGGGCAAGCTAGCTCTGCTCCTACTAGGTTTTCAATATATGCTTCCGGGCACTTGGGTGGGCATAGGGGGGGGCAGGCGAGAATTTTGGGGAGGCTCCAGCCCACCCTTGCCCCCCCCCCCCTGGCGCCGCCCCTGTAACAAGGGCGTCAAGAACGACACTGCATCCCGATTTGAAGTTGTTCTTTAAAGGGGCCCTGAAACACTTCTTCAAGTAACCATGAAGTAAATTCACTGCAATAGCTTATTGCCTCGCGAATTCAACGCCACAAAAATTTTAAGAATCCGTCCAGTGCGAGTAGAGTTACAAAGGTTTGCCGCATGGTGGCATAGCATTCTATCTTCGCTCCTCCCGAAGAAAGTGCTGGAACCTAAGCAGCAGGGATAGCAGGGCCACAGAAAAACTTCACGCGCACCTCGTCACCTTTAGCACTTTTTTTTTCTTCAAAGACGCGGCTTTATCAGTGTGATCGCGTGCGTAGACGTGGACAAGTAGCGGCTTCCCACGCCGATCCCTGTAACGACCGAGCCCGCCAGGTTCAAATCAGCCAATGACTGGTAGATGTGCTTGCTACGTGTGATATTTGGGCATATTTCATGATTTTTCGAGAGAAGAGAAAGCAATTTCAAGCTGACTTTGATAATTTGTTGTGAATTACAGGCCGCGCGCTGTGCTATAATATTTGGCTCGCGTCTTGTCGGGAGCGTTTTTTGACCATGCAGTGTTGCAGGGCCCCTTAAAAAAATGACCCAATCGTAGCGAACGAATTGTTTTGCGAGGAGAGCATGGTTTCGCATATTATTTCGCTGGGTTTCTCTTCAGCAATGACATTAAACTCATGTTTTTTTCGCAGCACATTGACCACGTCACTCAATAAACTGTTCGCAGGTGGGATCCCACGTACACGTTCGTGAAGACTGGGGTCTGCTTCATTCTTAACATCGGCAGGTCACCGGAACTCCAGAGGTGTCAAGAGCAGTACAAATACCGTAAGATAAGGAAACCATCTTTCTTTCGCCATCGAAAGTTCAGCGTGACAGATAATGTCAGTAGAGTAGTCGTACAGAGTGATGCATCCGTGCAGAATGATCACACTACTAGCGATTCTTGGGGAAGGCAATCGCGTGCTTCTTTCGGGCCTTAAGTAAAATGTATGATGAACTGAAGATTTCTGGGGAAGGCTTTCACCTTGCAGCTAGATACATAAACATGACGGGGATAATCATGATTTATCATGATCATGAAGACCATAATGACATAGTATTGATGGGTAAAAACGGGGGCATGTATAGTAACGAAGTTTAGCACAACCATGTGGGTTGAATTTATCATATGACACTTAAATAAACCTTTCTGAAAGTTATAACCTAACTTGCATCCCTGCTGCACTGTTCGGCTTGTCCTGCAGTTCACACAAAAATTATTCTGTTATTTATTTATTCGTTATTTCGTACTGGAGATCACGTAAGTGTTCCGACGCATTGTCTTCAAAGCTGACAATGAAAGTAGAGAGAAGTATGAAAGCCACGGAAATACCTCAAGCCTTATCCGAAACCACTTGAACGGAGAAGTACACGGATGTGCACGCCTATGGCGCCCTGTATTTTTTTCCCGTCCTGATTTGAAAGCAGATGAATAAATCTGTTCGCATGGTTGGCATTCAATCATTCACCATGTTGCTCTAAACCTTTGTGTGTTACAGAACTTTGTTGAAGATACAGATGCATAATGTTGACATATTGTGCCTGAAGTTGTATTCGCTTGTCGTCTAAGCGCGTACAGTGAATCCTCTTCTGTAACCCATTAGAATATTGATACCATGGAACCCTGGCAGAGTGTTATTCACGCTCTCAAATTCCTATTGTAAATCAGGTAAGGCGCTTTGCAGGTTTGAGCTGACACATTAGCAGAGTATTTTGATTCTTTTTTATGCCCTATCCAGAGCGCTTTATAAAGTCTTCTAGTTAAAGTCATCAATCATTACGCTTCCCAATGATCCACGCTCGTATAGACTCGTAAGGGACACTTACGTGTCCCTCGTAAGGGACAACCATCTCTATAAATAAGCCTCGCCTTTTGAACGTCTCGCAATAGTTCGAACACGGGATTCATGAAATACAGAATCCGACATTTAGTCTTTGCGTTGACTTCTTTGCTTCTTGACTCGCGTGGAGTGGTTGAAGTGGGATAAGGTCAATACGTCACCGAACCATTATCACTGGATGATTCCAGATCTCTTCCAGTGTGAGACGTAGAAAGTAAAATTAAAAGGCATAGAGCTCGGGTAACGCCTCGTGGGCTTACAGACTTGCCAAGCATGGTCCTTCCGAACTCTGGATAGGTCATTTATCAACGTCAAGTCAACTTTGAAAAGAACCTTATTTTCTTTCCGGGCACATAATGCTTCTTGGTACTAAATCTCATTACGGATGAATGATATGGCTCGAACGTTTCTCGGCTGCTTCTCTGTGTCACTTCTGGCTTTCCGCGAAGATCGCAGTGCTTCCGCTGAGATGACCCGAATGGTTCACGCTTGCGTTGAAAGAAGCCTCCCACCCTGCACATTATTATTTTTTTTTGTGTCATTAACATCCTACTCTGCTGAGTGGCCACGCAGTATCGATCATTGCTGCAAACATAGTGAACTATATCGTACGTACTTTCTTTCTATAATTCGGTTTGCTTTATTTAGCGGCATTGTCCACATTCGCCAAGACTATGCGTTCATTCTACACGTGTCATTGCTCCAACTCTCTGGCCATCTCTAAGTAGTTCTGATGCTGCAAAATCACGTAATGCTGTTCAGAAAAAGAAGTTTGTAGCAGTTATGTAAGTCGAACGAGTTATCAACACCGAAGGAAGGGGCAGTTTTTGCGATGAGAATGACATTTCTTTACTTTAATATTTGGAAGTTCAGTAAGTGAACACAGACACTGCATATTAAGCACAAAAAAAAAAGACGCCAGGCCTGTGTGGTAGGCGTGACACAGACACAGCGAAAGCTGGAAGAGCGGCCTTTCAGAGCCTTTTCAAAACACTCATTGGGTAACTACCGCAAGCACACTTGCTTGGTACCCACTAGGGCATTCATAATAAACTTTTGGGTAGTAGACCAGCATTCGCTATGCTATTTTTTTTCATTCTTTTGAGAAGCATGGTATCTGCTAAACACTTGCAAAGGAATTGTGCGCCATTGTCCATGCAGTGGCTAACGACAATGAGGAATTATGGATAAAGTGGGTATGCGCCACAGTTAAAAGGGAACAAGAACAAGCTTTTGCGATGATTTGGAGCATTGGACAGCCCACTGCCCCGCCGCGGTGGTCTAGTGGCTAAGGTACCCGGCTGCTGATGCGCAGGTCGCGAGTTCGTATCCCGGCTGCGGCGGCTGCATTTCCGATGGAGGCGGAAATGTTGTAGGCCCGTGTGCTCAGATTTGGGTGCACGTTAAAGAACCCCAGGTGGTCGGAATTTCCGGAGCCCTCCACTACGGCGTCTCTCATAATCATATGGTGGTTTCGGGACGTTAAACCCCACATATCATCATCAATGGACGGCCCACTCGTTACGCTATTCGCGTTGTGCGATGACAGGTTCTTCTTTCGCTGTTGTAAAATGCTTTATAAGTCGTATTAACGCGATTGCTTTCCCGACATCAAGGCTGCCTACGGCAAGTATGACAAGTCACAAGTACAGGTGTAGCTCAATGATAGAATACTGGGCTGGTACCCAGTGGACCCGGGTTCAAGCCCCGCTGTGCCATTTGTGTTAGGTCATGCGTGCCTATAGAGCAAGTTTGAAAAGTTATTAGCACCGGCGTAACTCAGTGGTAGAATGTTGGGCTGGCACGCAGCAGACCGGGATTGAAGCCCTACTGTGCTGTCGGTGCAAGGATTTCTTTCGCGCGATGTGGTAATGGACACCGGCGGCGGCGGCGGACAACTGCGCGTGACCCGAAAAAGGATCTCATAAAAGCTTTTGCTGTAAAAATCAAAACACAAACGCTCAAGTTCATGTGTCCTGTAGCTATATCGTACTGCGCTCTGTCTGTACTGCCTTAGTGCTCCTACAGAGATTCATAAACAACAACTAGCCCACTTTGAAGCTCAATTCCTTCGAAGCTCAATTCCTTTGAAGCTCAATTCCTTTACTCAATTCCTTCACTTGCTTAATTTTTTTTTCGTTGGTGCCCTGTGCAAGGAAGCCTATCGCATACTTGAGGGCAAGAGCATCACCACCGACACTCTCACGTGGTTCGCCGTGCACATGGGATCCATCAGGGGACTTCTTACAAATCTTAACAAGCTGGCTCATTCTAAAGCGCGAAGTCTCACTTTTCGCGACCATGGGGCACTCCCCGTCGGCACGCTGTTGTGGAGAACATGGATCACCCAACCACTTATAACGATATTACACAGCACATTTATTTCGCCAGGAAAGACTTCCCACTCCTAACAAGACGTTAAATCAAGCGCAGGCATTGACTCTCAGACTACTGCAGACGGGTCCGTAACCCAGCCCGGCTTTATTACGCGCAGTTTATCCCGACGTTTATCCCAATAGCTCCTGCATGCAGGCACTCCAACAAATTCGCTAGCCTTGACCACATGCTCTGGCGTTTCCCCAATCCAATGTAAACGGACGAATCCAATGTAAACAAGTAGTTATCCGCAATCAAGAGCCTCGATGTCAGGGATCAACTGTGGGCTGTCCACAGGGCCCACTATTCGCCAGACGGGCTTGGCATAACCGCCCCCAACGTGAGAGCGGCCCGCTGCGTGTTGGGTCGCGCACATCAGAACTTACACGAAACTTTCGCATTCATCGATCCATTTGTTTATTCAGCAGTGATAAAACTTTTTTTTTAGTTGGGAAGGTTAAACCACAATATAGAAAGAACTGCGGCGTTTACAGTTATGAAATTCTAGAGGGAGACTTCAAGAAATACTTTGGCAACATTCGGTTCTTTAACGTGCGCAAGAAAAAAAAAACACGAGCAGCGGGTGCTCTTAAAAGTTCAATGTTAAGCGCATCGGGAGCCTAGAAATGCGCCACGGCTTTGCGCACGCCACGTTATTCTACCGTGAGGTCAGGCCTATAGCAGAAGATTACACGTTTCATAGTGACCTCCACACTGAATATTTTCCGCTGAATGCATACCCTTGAGAAAAAAAATTGCACCACCTTTCCCTAAAAAGAACCATGTGTAAATGCAAAGCAGCGGGCGCTAAGGCTTACACTGGCGTCGACGTTGACGCAGACGCTCGGGGTGAAATCGCGCCGGAAGGAAACCTGGGGTGGCGCAAAGCACGCAGTGATGGACCGGTGTTTGCTACTGAAACATGCAAATGAAAACATGCAAAGGAGAGACAGAAGACTCCGATAAGACCAGAGATCCGCAATCCGCTTTCAGTTAACGTGCACGCCGCGATTTTTTAGGGGCAAAACTCCTTAGGCCGTGGGTCGTGCGTCCCCTATGTGTGTAGTGGTAGTAGTAGTAGTAGTAGTAGTAGTAGTAGTAGTAGTAGTAGTATTAGTAGTAGTAGTTGTCGTAGGTAGCCACCTCTTTAGGCCTCGGAATATCCCCTGGATGGCGGTACTTCTATAAGATGAATATACGATGAAAAGATGCGAGATGATGGTATTTGGAGTGTGCACTAAATGGACGGATGGATGGACGCATGAACGGACAGACAAACAAGCAGACGGACGGATGAAGGGACACTCGGACGAACAGATGTACGGAACGGACAGATGCACGGACGGACGCACTGACAGATGGACGGGCGCACGAACAGATGCATGAATGGGCGGACGGACGGACGCACGTATGGATGGTGGTGGTGGTGGTAAAAAACATTTATTTCAGAAAAAGTCTACTAGAGAGTGCCGACGTGGCCCATCGGCGTGCTAGAGTGGCAAGACCCTATTCCGGGATGCCAGTGGAGCTGGAAGCTGCCCGTGCGCGCTCCACCAAGGAGCGTTGTGC